GAGGAGGGGAAGACCCCTGTGTGTCCCTCCGGTGGCGGGGGAGGCGGAGGCGGACGCGGCGGGGGAGGCGGCGCACGCGGCGGCGGCGACGGCGCCTCTTGCCTCGCCTGTGTAAAGAGAGGGCTGGTGTGGCGAGGAGAGGGAGAGAGGCGTGAGAACGGGTCGACTGTTCGCGCCGCCACACGCTCTCGCACCGACACGCCCGCGCTGGCGATGGCTGCGCCGGAGCTTGGGGGCGGGGGCGCCGCCTGGGTTAGGCAGGCAGGGTGAGGGTCAGGGTGAGGGTGAGGCGGGTGAGGGTGAGGGTGAGGGTGAGGGAAGGGTGTGCTGATCTCGGCTCGTCTCGGCCAGTCTCGGGCTCGTCTCGGCTCGTCTCGCCTTGTCCGCGCCGTCGGCCGAGGAGGTTCGCTGCAGCAGGTGGGCGCGCGGCGAGATGAAGGAGCTTGCCTGGGATGCGGGGCGGGGGAGATGTGGGGAGATGTGAGGAGGGGGGGGGGTGTTGGGGGGATACGGGGGAGGTATGGGTGTGGGGAGATGGGGGGAGATGCAGAGCTCACATATGGTGATGTGGGGGAGGTGTTGGGGAGGTGTGGGGGAGGTGTGGGGGAGGTGTGGGGGAGGTGTGGGGGAGGTGTGGGGGAGGTGTTGGGGAGGTGTGGGGAGAGGTGGGGGAGGTGTGGGGGAGGTGTTGGGGAGGTGTGGGGAGATCGGAATACCGGAAGAGGCGGACGGCCCACGCGACGCACGCGGCGCCATCTGCCGGGCGCCGCACCGTCGCCTCGTAGACGGACGCGAGCCGCTCCTGTTCACAGCTGCAGGTGTGAGGAGACGCTGTTCACACCATCACGTAGACGGAGGCGAGCCGCTCCTCGGCCCCGCCCTCCTCCTCCTCCACCCCCTCCTCCCCACTGGCCGCACCGGCCGCGCCATGTCCGCGCACACTCGCCGCCGCCGCTGCACCCGCGCCCGCCCCCGCGCCGCCCGCGCCCGCCCCCGCGCCGCCTGCGCCCGCGCCGCGCTGCCCCAGCTCGGCGGCGAGCGCGTCGGGCCGCGCCGCCCACGCGTTGACGCGGCGGGGCGCCTGCACAAACTGCGCCTCGAAGAGGTCGCGCGCCCACTGCACGCAGTGCTCGATCGCCTAAAGGACATGTCTCGGACATGACCTGGACGTGTCCTGGACATGCCTCGCGGGGAGAGGTGGTCGAGCACGTACGGGAACGCCTTGACCGTGCAGACGGGGATGTCGTCGTCGGGAGGGTCGGTCGACGCGCCGTACGACGCGGTGAGGCCGGGCAGCACGACCTGCGTGTTCGCCTTGGTGCCGGCGGTGCCGCTCTCGAGCAGAGGCTTGCGGTGGAGCACGCACATGCGGTCGACGTGCAGCCGCGCCGCGACGTTGTCGAGCGCGCTGATCACGCCTGTTCACAGCTACAGGTGTGAAGAGACGCTGTTCACACCATCACGTTGTCGAGCGCGTGGATCACGCCTGTTCACAGCTACAGGTGTGAAGAGACGCTGTTCACACCATCACGTTGTCGAGCGCGCTGATCACGCCTGTTCACAGCTACAGGTGTGAAGAGACGCTGTTCACACCATCACGTTGTCGAGCGCGTTGATCACGCCTGTTCACAGCTACAGGTGTGAAGAGACGCTGTTCACACCATCACGTTGTCGAGCGCGCTGATCACGCCTGTTCACAGCTACAGGTGTGAAGAGACGCTGTTCACACCATCACGCTGTCGAGCGCGCTGATCACGCCTGTTCACAGCTACAGGTGTGAAGAGACGCTGTTCACACCATCACGTTGTCGAGCGCGTTGATCACGCCTGTTCACAGCTACAGGTGTGAAGAGACGCTGTTCACACCATCACGTTGTCGAGCGCGCTGATCACGCCTGTTCACAGCTACAGGTGTGAAGAGACGCTGTTCACACCATCACGTTGTCGAGCGCGCTGATCACGCCTGTTCACAGCTACAGGTGTGAAGAGACGCTGTTCACACCATCACGTTGTCGAGCGCGTGATCA